TGTATAGGCTCCAGTTCATGTTACTTTCGCTAAGGGAAGTTCACCATTTCACTGTAAGATCAATGTAGTAGAAATAAATGCCCTTAATGCTGTTTCTCATTGGGGAAAATTCGCCCTTTAGAGTACATTTGACAATATGTAGATAGTTTTGGTTGTTACAACTGAGGAGATGCTACTGGCACCTAGTGGTTAGAATGAGGGATGCTACTAAACAACCCACAATGCGCAGGACAGCCCTCCACAACACAGAATTCTGTGGTCCAAAATGCCAGTAGTGCCAAAGTTGAGTAACCCTGTCTTAATCTTACCTGGAATTTTATAGTACTGAAGCTGATTTGCAGCCTTCATAAACTCAGTCTATCTCTGACTCATCCATAGACCTCAATGACAGTTTAAAATATTTTAAAATCAAATCTTGATATATTCTTAGAACTTCTGACTCACTTATGTAAGATTTAAATTTAGAAATGAGGGAAGTAGGCATGGAGAATGTAAGGTTTCCATTTTGTGTGGGGATTTATCTAAGAGCACTAGAACAACTATGGAGTATTTCCCCGATCATTGGTCATGGTTCAAATGCTGTGATGCTGCAGGTGGCAGTCAAAAAATGATTTCTGTATCTGCCACATTCATAATTGCTATGTTGACATTAGTTCCTTGTATAGACCAATTTATTACTAATGTTTTGAGATTTATTTTAGGATTCCAAGTCTGTAGCCTGGTCTTAAAGCACTTCCAATAATTTATAAGCATCTAATGCCTTATATATTTATTTAAAAAATAACCAATGTGGTTTAGTTATCTGCACCCAAATAATGATTGATATCTTACAGCTATCATCATTGCATTCAAGGTGAAGTCATTTGTGACTTCCTTACAAATTCCTCTATATAATTTTTTTTTTTTTTTGAGACAGAGTCTCACTCTTTTGCCCGGGCTAGAGTGCTGTGGCGTCAGCCTAGCTCACAGCAACCTGACTCCTGGGCTCAAGTGATCCTCCTGCCTCAGCCTCCCAAGTAGCTGGGACTACAGGCATGTGCCACCATGCCCGGCCAATTTTTTCTCTATATATTTTTAGCTGTACAATTAATTTCTTTCTATTTTTGGTAGAGATGGGGTCTCGCTCTTGCTCAAGCTGGTCTCGAACTCCTGAGCTCAAGTGATCCACCCGCCTTGACCTCCCAGAGTGCTAGGATTACAGGCGTGAGCCACCGCTCCTGGCCTACTCTTGATTTTTGATTACATGCAGTACTTATTTTTCAGAAGTGCTATGGATACAGCAGAATGCAATTTGGTAATAAAAAGGAAATGCTGCAACATAGATGAACCTCAGAAACACTGTGTTACGTGAAAGGAGCCAGTTGGAAAAGACTGCATATTGTTTGATCCAATATATGAGAATGTCTAGAAAGACAAACCTACAGAGGCAGAAAGCAGAATAATGGTTGCGTAGGCCTAGAGGTGGGATGGAGATTGACATAATGAGTATGAGGTATCTTTGGTGTGATGAAATGTTCTAAAATTATATCATGTTGATGCTTCCACCATTCTAAATGCACTTAAAACCATCAAATTTTACACTTTAAATGGTGAATTTTATGATGTGTTGATTATATTTCAATATATCTTTTTTTAAAAAACAATGCTATTGAATATGGAAGAAGGAGAATAGATGGGGATAAATTCTTAACTGGAAATTGACAGAAATTATTAATGGCACCTCCAGAAAGAGGAGCTAGGAAGAGGGATAGGAGGGAAAGAAAAAAGAAAAATTAGTCTTAAAAGTCCATAAGGAGAACTCATGGAAAATTTATACAATACACTGGCATTTTATAGCGCGGCTGTTAGGAAACATCAGAACATTTGTTTTATGTGATTAGTAACATTTGTTATTAGCAGCCAAATATTGTGGAACAAGTACTTACAACACACGGGCACATACTTTGCGAATACATATTCACATCTGTATAAACACACTCATAGTGAGTCTGTGCAAATTGAAATAGGAAAAAAATTTTTGGTGCCCTTCAAATTAGCTTAGGAACTCCCTTTTCTCTTTTACCCACTTAGACACCTATTGGCCTCCACATTCATACCTCACTCTGCATACAGAAACCTGTGCTTAGAACAGTAAATCAAAAGCTCTCTCTCCTATTTTCACATTTTGTGCACTCCCAGTGCTTGCTTATGGTTGTCTCATGCTTCTTCAGGTTGACAATTCCAAGTCACAGGAAGCACCTGAGAGTTACAGTCTTTCCCAAGCTTCCTTTGCTTTTATTTTCTACTATCCACTTCTCTTCCCTGTTATACCCATCTCTAACCTTCCTTGTTATCTCACCTGATACAGAAACTCATCCGGCGTTAAAGATGCATGGGTCGAGAGGGCGCCCATAGCTCTCCCCTCTTTTTCAGAAAGCAGACAGGCACACATCTGTAGGTAACGCTGTGCATGTGTAGATTCCAGACTGCTTTCAGACCAGCTCCCAAAGCCAAGTGTTTAGGAGCCTGATCACCGTGCATTTTTCTCCATTCATTTCCTCTTGCTTCTGTCTTATTTCTTATCTTTCCCTATTCTCTTCCTGCTAATTTTATCTTTATACAGTCATTTTTAAAACTTATTCTTTTACATTGGCTTTTAGCTTTTTTGTTTCCTGTTACTTTTATCTTTTCTTGCAATTTCTCTTCCTAATTCCTTACTTTTTCCTCTCTCTTTTCTTTCTTCCTTCTCATTCTCTTTCTTCGTTCTCTCATTTGCCCACATTCTTTCAGTCTCAAGTATGTTTTACTTCATTCTCTGCCTGTGTCCTATTCAATATATTCAATGCTTATCTTTCCATTGATTCTGAGATAGTGGATTGCTTTATCCACGCCAAGGTAGAGTGAGCACAGTAGGTAGGCACTTCCCATGTAATCCATTTCAATGTCTTTTCTATAGGTTGAAAATGCTTTCGTCCCTCTCCAGTGCTAAGTTTTTCTTTCTAAATATTATCGTTTTTGAAATGTACTCAATCTGAATCACTCATTAATTACATCACATTTTCTCACATATTTTTTCTGTTTTTAACTCATCTTGATAAAAATGAAGTGACTTATCTTTGTGTTCTAAAGCACAAAGATTTCTGGTTTGGGAATCATTCTACCTGGCTGAGTTACTGTATCTGTGATTGGGGAACTGCATAACCTTAGGCAAGTTAGTCTTTTAATACCTGTATTTTGCTTCTATAAAAGAGAAGTAATAAATCTATTCTTTTTACTCCACAGGCTAGAGAGACTATGAAGACCAAATGAGATGATTAGGAGCTAATCCATGTCTTCTTAAAATGAACTAAGAAAGCAAGCATTCAGTCATTAAATAAATTCTAATAAAATATGATGAGTAGACACTATGTCAGTAGGCCTTTTTTCACTGCCCTGGGATTCATCCCAGCAAAGATGATTACTACTTAAATCTGAGTGGATTTCAGGGTAAGAATTTTTAGAGGTTCTAGGAAGGGTCTATGTAAAGTTTTCTTATTTAATTCAGACAGGGTTTGAGAATCAAGTCTTTCTTGTTTTAGGATCTCCAATTCAGAGCCTTGTGTTGCTGGATGCTAGGATCATGTAGAGGAGACAAGACATATGTCAACTGAATTTGGGAACCAGGAGGTTTTCAAACTTGTGAAGTCAATGAAGTTTGTTTTTGAGACTCAGTCTA